TACCAAAGCCTTGGTGGTCTTTGGTAAGATCTGAGAGAATTCCCTAGATTACCAGGAAGTCTTATTCTTTTCCCTTACTTTCCCTGAATGAATGGAGTCTCTCTTTCTCTGTGCTGAGCTGCCTAGAGTTGGGGAAGGGGTGATACAAACACTCCCATGGCCACCACCACTGGGACTGTGCTGGCTCTGCCCAAAGCCAGCATAGTACTCGTTGTTGCCCAAGGCCTGTGGCTGCTGCTGTCTGGCTACCACGGATGTTTATTCAATTAAGACCAAGAGGTCTTAATTTATCAGGTGGTAAATTCTTCCAGGCCTGTCTTTCCCTTCCAGGCAACAAGTTGCCTTCTGGCCCAGGGTAGGTCTAGAAATCTTGTCCAGGAGCTATGGCCTAGAATGAGGCCTTCAGGACACTACATGGTACTTTATTTTACTGTGGTTGAGCGAATATCCAAGTTGCAAGACAATGCCCGTTTTACTCTTCCCTCTCCTCCTGTGGCTGCCGGCTGTGCTGCCTGGAGTTGGAAGAGAGTTGATACACACACTCTCTTGGCCACCCCAGCTGGTGTGTCACCGGTGTGTCATGTGTCACTGGGTAGGATGTACCCCAAGTCCACTGGTTCTGAGCGAAGCTGTCCTTGTGGCCGAGACTGCCTGGCACATTTACTTAGGACACCAGAGTGTTTTCGTCTGTGGAGGCACTTGCTGGAACTCCAGCTCCCACCGCTGTGGTGGACAATTCCTCTCGGCTAGAGCTGATCTAATGCTCCCTCTGAGGGTGCTGGCCAAACGCTGCCCGTGTTGCTTTCTTTTTTTTTTTTTTTTTTGAGACGGAGTTTCGCTCTTGTTACCCAGGCTGGAGTGCAATGGCACGATCTCGGCTCACCGCAACCTCCGCCTCCTGGGTTCAGGCGATTCTCCTGCCTCAGCCTCCCGAGTAGCTGGGATTACAGGCACGCGCCACCGTGCCCAGCTAATTTTTTGTATTTTTAGTAGAGACGGGGTTTCATCATGTTGACCAGGATGGTCTCGATCTCTTGACCTCGTGATCCACCCGCCTCGGCCTCCCAAAGTGCAGGGATTACAGGCGTGAGCCACCGTGCCCGGCCCCGTGTTGCTTTCTGTTGCGACAAGGCAGCACTGAGTTCCAATGCAAAGCCTCACAATCACTCCATTCTTCCTCCTCCAAACAGATTCTCTCTTGTTGCCATGCTGCCCTGCCAGGCACTGGGGGAGGGATGGTGCAGGCAAATTATGACTATCCTTTCTACCCTCGTCAGTGACTCTTTCTTTGAATATATGTTAAAACCATATATTTTGATTGCTCACCTAATTTTTGGCTCCTATGAAGGGGCTTTCTTGTGTGGATAGTTGTTCACTCTGGTGTTGCTGCAGAGGGGCCAATTGCTGGAGGGCTCTATTTGGCCATCTGGCTCCTCCGCTTTCTCCTTTTCCATTGTTGTTTTGTTTGTTTATTTGTTTTTTGAGATGGAGTCTCACTCTGTTGCCCAGGCTGGAGTTCATGGGCCCGATCTTGGCTCACTGCAATCTCTGCCTCCCAGATTCAAGCAATTCTCGTGCCTCAGCCTCCGGAGTAGCTGGGATTACAGGCGTGAGCCACCGTGTTGGTTTGCTTTTTTAAGGAGACAGGGTCTTCTGTTACCCAGGCTGGAGTATGTGGTGCAGTCATGGCTCACTGCAGCCTTAGACTCCTGGGCTCAAGTAGTTCTCCTGCCTCAGCCTCCCAAGTACCGGTTTGTTTCTTGAGCCCTTGTGGATGGACTGTACCCACACTGGTTTACCCGTCCTGGATAGGCCATACATTTTTCTTGTAGATTTACTGACATTTGTTTTCTGTTTTTGCTTATTCTTGTGAATTATTTTTCATGATCTTTCCCCTTTTGTCTAGCAGTGACTTTGATTCTTATTTTCTGCTTGTATAGTGAGCTTTCATATAGAAAATGCATTAGCCATTTGACGTTACATTTTACTTCAAGTATTTCCCCATTCTTTTCTAAGACTTTTTGTTTCATTTACCTCTTATTTTTCTATTTGTTTATATGAAAGTTCCTTCATTTGTGTGTGATTGGAAGTGTTGGCATTCACATTGTAAGTTTTCTTCCCGTAGTTAGAAATCCATCTCGGTTCTGGAATTTGGGGTACCTTTCATGTCATCTTACTGTGTTTTTAATGGTTGTCTGTTTTCGTGTTGAACTAATGCACCTGGGATTAATTTTGGCCTACGGTGGTTTAAGTACTTCCACACTGAAGATGGGGAGATGGGCTGAGGGGATATGTTAGTATTCCACACAGGAAGGAACAGAGGAAGGTACAAGATAAAGGAAGGGAAGCTAAGAGTTTTAGGAAAATGTGAGTGGGAGAAGCAGCGTAATTGATGTGACTTAATGGAATGTGGGGTGGGAAGGCATATACGATGAATCCACTATCCGATGAATTTCTTGGTTTCCTGATGCTGCTAGCTTCACTGTAAACGTTTCCATTATCTTCCGGTGTTAATTCCTTATTTTGTCTGGTTATTTTCTGGAACTTCTACTAATAATAATTAGAATGGGAGCCACTACCAGTTATTAAGCCACTGCAGGTCCACAAAGCTTTCTCTAGAACCCTTGGAGCAAGATGTGTTTCACAATTCAGAATTGTACAGATTTTAGGAAGGTAAACAGGTCACATCCTATATGTGACATAACATACTCCGTATACTATATGTGACATAATATAACTCCAGCAGGGGCTGGAGCAGCACCCCAAAATCAAACACACGGAGGTAGCTACAAAGACAAATGACTAGATTTCCTAAGAGCAATAAGTGGAGGCTATGAATAGCCTCATTACATTTCACATGGAGTTTCACTCCAGATGTCCAAACATTCAAAAAGGAAAGAAGGCTTTGGTTCTCAGCTTTTGAATACTGGAATGGCAGATTAAGGTCATAGCATGTGCCAGAAAGTTTGCATATTATTTCCAATTCTCATGAAAACCTCGTGAGATAGGTGTTTATATCTGTATTTGAAAGGCAATATGCTTATGGTAATAAAGTTAACGAGTGTGTCACAAGGTTATGTAGTTACATGAACATCACCTCCGTTAATTCAGTAACATCTGCCTTTAAAGCACAGCTAGTAATAGAAATATAATGTGAGCCACATGTGTACTGAAAACATTTTTAGTATCAACATTAAAACAAAAATTTAAAAACAGTGATATGGTTTGGATCTGTGTTCTGTGTTGAAATCTCATGTTGAAATTTAATCCCCAGTGTTGGAGGTGAGGTCTGGTGGGAGGTGATTTCATCGTAGGGGGTGGATTTCTCATGAATGGTTTGGCACCATTCCCTTGGTAATGTCTTAGCAATACGGAGTAAGTTCTTACAAAACCTGGTTGATGTAATATGTGGCACCTCATCCACACTCTTTCTCCTTGTTTCACCGTGTGATGTGCCTTCTCCTACTTTGTCTTTTACCATGAGTAAGAGCTCACTGAGGCCTCCCCAGAAGCCAAGAAGGTGCCAGCACCATGCTTGTACAGCCTGCAGAACTATGAGCCAATTAAACCTATTTTGTTTATAAATTACCCATTCAGGTATTTATTTATAGCAATACAAGAACTCCCTAACACAAACAGGTAAAATTTTAGTAATATATTTATTTAACCTAATGTATCCAACACATTATATCATATAACCAATATTTTTACAATGAGATATTTTACACTTCTTTTTGTAGTAAATCTTCACAATCTGGCATATATTTTATACTCATAGTATACCTTAAACCAGCCACATTTCAGTTGCTCAGTAGTTACAAGTGACTAATAGCTCCTATATTGGACAGCGTAATTCTAAAGCCTCTGTTTATCAGGACACATCCACTCAGGCTGTGTAGTCAGTTTGACACCCAAGTAGTTATCTTATATCATCTTGGACTTGTATACCCTATGCTAATGATAGAGTCCTTCTTTTTAGCTTAATCTCCTACCTATTTTGCTGAGTTTTTTCCTGCTTCTTGCTAGTTTAAAGTCTTCTCCTTTGTAAATATCTAAATATAGTCAGATGCTTCATAATGAGGTTTCAGTCCAGTCAACCACAGACTACATATATGGCCATGGTTCTATAGGATCATAAAATTGTATTTTTACTGTAGCTTTTCTACATGTACGTATATTTAGATACACAGATACTTACAGTGTTAAAATTGCCTCCAGGATTCGATTCAGTAACATCGTGCACAGGTCTATAGCCTAAGAACAATAGGCTATACAATAGGCGTGGCTGTTTAGTTGGCTGTACTATCTAGGTTTATGTAAATGTGCTCTAAGACGTCTGCACAGTGAGGAAATTGCCTGACACTGCACTTCTTACAGCATGTCCCATCGTTAAGTAACACGTGACTGTACTCAATTCTAATCGTTCCTAGTTCTTTCTAAATTTGGTCTTAAGAATACATTTTTGAAAACCTACAACTTTGTTGAGGTAAACATCATAGAAGTAATTGTGTCTGGAGTATAAATTATTTTGGCTGAATTTACAGCATGTGAAACTGTCAACATAACATAGAACGTTTTTATCACTGCTGTTAGATTCCTCATGCCCATTTAGTGAATCCCCATTCCTACCGCGAGCCCCAGGCACCCACTTACCTTCTGTCTCTGTAGTTTTGTCTTTTCTAGACCTCTTCTCTAATAAACATACGTCTATCAAATGACCACCCTGTGGAGTTCATTGTGCAGTATATGGCATAAAAGTTATTCTACAAATAAAATCTTGACTTACTCATTTTCAAATTATAGACTGTTCTGAATTCTGGTTATTAAATGTCTCCGTACAACCTTTAATACGGTCATCAAAACCATGATAAAACACTAAAAAGTTACTGTTTTGGTAATCATAACTTATGATTAATAACGATAACTGCATTTATATTGTAGGATCTTCATTTTTATCAGCACAGGAAAGCAGAAACATTTAATTTCCTGTTGTCTTTCAGACTCGGGGTCTACGTTTGAGACCAAGAAGTTACCTCCAAATCAATGCTACAAATCTGGGCAAAGCATCTGCCAGAAAGCAGCTTCTGCACAACGAAAAGTTGCTCCACGAAAGAGGGGCTGCAGTCAGAATTCAGTCCTCACGAAACCTGAGGAACGGCATTCGGGGAAGAAACCTGTAAAATGTAATGACTGTGGGAAAACCTTTAGTCGAAGCTTCTCTCTCAAACTTCATCAGAACGTTCATACTGGAGAGAAGCCTTTTGAATGCAGTAATTGTAGAAGAGCTTTCAGACAGATCTCATCCCTCATCCTTCATCAGAGAATTCACAGTGGAAAGAAAAGCCATGAATGCGACAAATGTGGGGGCAGCTTCAATCACAGAACGACTCTTACTCTGCATAGGAGAATGCATGATGGAAAGGAAACTGTTGCCTGTGGGAAGGCCCTGAGTCAATGTCAGTCTTTCAGTACACATCAGAAAACCCACATCGTTGGGAACGTCTGCCAGTGCAGGAAGTGCGGGAAAGCCTTCAGTCACATGTCATCCCTCTTACTTCATCAGAGAATTCATAATGGAAAGAAAACTCATAAATATAATAAATGTGGGAGAGGCTTCAAAAAGAAACCAGTCTTTGTTATACATAAAAGCATTTATGCTGGAGAGAAAACCCCTGAAAGTGTGAAGGCCTTAAGTCAGAGTCTACAGCAAAGAAGTCACCATTTAGAGAATCCTTATAAATGCAGGAAATGTGGGAAATTCTTTAACAGGATTTCACCCCTTATGCTTCACCAGAGAATTCACACTTCAGAGAAACCATACAAATGTAATAAATGTGACAAGCTCTTCAGGCGGCTTTCAACCCTTATTCTGCATCTAAAAATTCATAATGGAGAAAAACTATACAAATGCAATAAATGTGAGAAGGTCTGCAATCGGCATTCATCCCTTATTCAGCACCAGAAAGTTCATACAAGGAAAAAGAAACTATTTGAGTGTAAGGAATGTGGGAAGATGTTTTCTGGAACTGCAAACCTTAAAATACATCAGAACATACATTCTGAAGAGAAACCTTTCAAATGCAATAAATGTAGTAAAGTTTTCGGCCGCCAGTCATTTCTTATTGAACATCAAAGAATTCATACTGGAGAAAAGCCCTACCAGTGCGAGGAATGTGGAAAAGCCTTCAGTCACCGAATATCTCTCACTCGACATAAGAGAATTCATACTGAAGACAGACCCTATGAATGTGATCAGTGTGGGAAGGCCTTCAGCCAGAGTGCACACCTTGCCCAGCATGAAAGAATTCACACTGGAGAGAAGCCATATACATGCAAAACATGTGGGAAAGCCTTCAGTCAGCGCACATCTCTCATTCTGCACGAAAGAAGTCATACTGGAGAGAAACCCTATGAATGTAACGAATGTGGGAAGGCCTTTAGTAGTGGGTCAGACCTCATTCGACATCAGAGGAGTCACTCTTCAGAGAAGCCGTATGAATGTAGTCAGTGTGGGAAGGCATATAGTCGGAGTTCATCCCTGATTCGACATCAGAACACACATTCTGAAGAAAAAGCCTAAAGTTGTTTTAAATCTATCGAAGATATGGCAAATACGTCTTTGTCTATAGTGTAAATTTTGTGTATATGGGACCTTTTGATGATGTGTCCCACTTTGAAAGCCAAAGAGCAAAAGTCATTGATGACTTTGACCTCAGGATTTGAAATTAACTGAAGGAAACTCAGAAGTTGGGTCAGTCATTGTGAATGAAGATCATTTGTCATTTGGTAAGAATTACTGGCCAGGCGTGGTGGCTCACACCTGTAACCCAGCACTTTGCAAAGCTGAGGCGGGCGGATCATAAGGTCAGGAGTTCAAGACCAGTCTGGCCAACTGTTGAAAGACCATCTCTATTAAAAAATACAAAAATTAGATGGGCGCAGTGGCGCGCACCTGTAATTCCAGCTACTAGAGAGGCTGGGGCAGGAGAATTGCTTGAACCCAGGAGGTGGAGGTTGCGGGCTGAGATTGCGCCACTGCACTCCAGCCTGGGAGACAGAGCAAGACTCTGTGTCGTAAATAACAAATGATGACTGACATTTTACTTCCAACATAGTTTTAAAGATAATTCATTGGTCACATATAACAAAGTAGAATTGTGAAGTCCATTATGGGGCCTTGAGCCTGATTTATGGTCACAGAAAAAAGAATGTGAGTCTGTTTCTCAGATCTAGAACTATCAAATATAAGGAACTTCTTGACAAAACAGGGTGCTACTTTCAGCTGACACACTTGTGGGTGAAATAAAGAAAAGTGATACTCTTTAGGTAGATAAAGGTATCACTCATAATGCTGTACCATCTCCATGGACATGAGGATATATGATCTTCATGGTTTGAACATCTAATATGGCTGAGGCAAGCCAACACTGAAAGAAGCAAGATATAGTGAAGAAGACTGGGCGTAGTGGCTCACACCTGTAATCCCAGCACTTTGGGATGCCAAGGTGGGCAGATCACCTGAGGTCAGGAGTTCAAGACCAGCCTGACCAACGTGGAGAAACCCCATCTCTACTAAAAATACAAAATTAGCCAGGAGTGGTGGCACATGCCTATAATCCCAGCTACTTGGGAGACTGAGGCTGGAGAATTGCTTGAACCTGGGATGTGGAGGTTGCAGTGAGCTGAGGTTGTGCCACTGCACTCTACCCTGGACAAAAAGAGCAAAACTTTGTCTCAAAAAACAAACAAAAAGATATAATGAAGAATGAGGATTTCAGAGCCAGGAGAAATCAGTATTGTTTTATGTGGAAATAAATCATCTATATTTATATGAATAAACATTGGTATTTTCATGTAACAATACTGGTAAGCAATAAGTGATTGGTGTAGTATGAGTTATGGAGTGAATGTTTGTGTCCTCCCCACAAAAATGTATTGTGTTAAAGTCCTAACCATCAATGCGATAGTACTTGGACATGAGGCATTTGGGAGACAGGATTAGATGAGGCCATAAGGGTAAAGCCCTCACGATGGGATTAGTGCCTTTATAAGAGGAGACATCAGAAAGCCTGCTTCCTCTCTGCTCCGTGTGAGGGTGCAGCAAGAAACCAGCTGTCTACAAAACAGGAAGATAGCCCTAAGACTTTAACCATGCTGGCACCCTGTTCTCAGACTTCCAGGCTTTACAACTGTGAGAAGTCAATCACTGCTTAAGCCACCCAGTCTGTGACGTTGTGTTATGGCAGCCCAAGGTAATACATTTAGGGGAAACTCTAGATTTATATACTGGGTTCTTTACCTGTCAGCAGTTCAACATGTGTAGTAGCTTTCAGTCTCTCTTTCCTGTTTGTGCAAAATACATAAGAAATAAAATCGGAGCTCTTTTTTGTAATTGGATCATAGACAGTTAGGCTCTTCTGTGTAAGTTTTCTTTCTGTAAAAGCTATTTTTGAGAATACCTAAAGTTTGTTAAGGTTACTTTGTGGAATATACATGGGTGAGGTCATTCTAACTTTGACCGCAACTAAGAAAAGAACAATCCAAATTGTGAGGGGTGAGCATGCATACAGGATGGTACAACTAACTTCCCATTTAAACTTCTTTCGTATTTGTAAAGCAAGCATGAAAATCCACCCCTTGGAGCAAATGGGTGAGCAAACAGCACAGAAGTAACTCATGGAGAAGCATGTGTTTTTCCTCGCTTTTCCACACATACCCTCTAGCTCGCTAATTCCTCTGCCAATCTGCCATACATGTCATTCCCAAATGAACTGTGACACACCTGAAGACTGGGGAGGAGCAAGAGGATGCCCTGCCCACAGTCACGGACTTTCCTGAGGCTTATCTCATTGCCTGTTGCATTTCTTGCTCTTTGGACTTCAAGAGAGCATTAGAATGGCAATACATGATAAAGTTAAACCTAACTTGGAATTACTTGTGAGAATTGCATAGTCTCACTGCTTTATTTCTGGCCTAGTCAGAAATCCTCATTTCATATAGTTTTGTCTATTCTGTCCTATTCTTCAGCTCTTAAAGGCATTTGTGAAAGTGCCATAAAGGTAAAGTATCTTTGGGTTCATTTGTCCTCCCAACTACTTGGAACTTGGTTATATTCTAATAGGATAAACAATTTATTTAAATTATTTTGCATTACATGAATTTTAAAAATATATCCAGACTAAGAAAGAAATCAACTTTGTGGTTTTTTTAAAGTCCTGAAAACTTAACTGGCAAGAAAAATGTTTTATTCCTAGACTGTTGTAGGAGAGCCCATTATTACGGTATTTTGCTTTTAATAGATACCTATAGACTTCGAGGTTTCGTTAGCAAACATTTTACCTGCACGTTTGCTGTGCATGTAGATACCCTGGCTCAATCACTGCTAAATCCTGGGGATGTGCAAACTAATAAGATATCGTTCTCGCCAACAGACACTGAGAGTTTCCGGGGAATTCAGGTAACAAAATACGGAAATCTGTATGAGGTGCATAGGTCGTACAGAGGAGAGGATGGTAAACTTCATTGTGATGGAGGTATGGGGACAGGAATTGTTTTTGTACATAGTATTAAGGGAAGAACATGAATTTATTAGGCACACAAAAGTTGGAAAGCTACTGAAGGCCAGGAGAAAATTACAGATTTTAGAATAATGGCAAACAGTAATAAGAGTATTTGGGGAGCTACAGGTTCCAGCATTTAATACAGTGGCTCCTAGTTCAATGGTAAGCACTCAATAAATGGTTGAATGAATGGAAATATGTTAGTATAACTGGATTTCCTGGAGGATAATCCAGTGGGGCCTAAACTCGAAGGTCATCCTGGCATTGAGATAGACCCTTGGGAAAACCAGTGTTGACCCTAAAAGATAAGGAATCACTATTAATATCTGAAGCCTATGGTCAACTTATGATAACCACAGCAACAATAGACCATAAACCTTCCTCAAGTCCTAGCTATAATAATACAAATTTACCCAATGACCCTCCACACACTAAAGGCTTCACAGAAAGACATGCCCTTTCCAGAAATTAAATCCGTTTACCTTCATATATGTTGTTCTACAAAAGATACTTGGCTTTCTGGGAAAAAAAAATTCCAAGGCAAATAAAAATAGAAAAATCAACACCGTACCCCATCAAGAAACAAAACATTCATCATAACTAGACTCAGAAACAACATAGCTGTTGGACTGACATGGAATTTAAAGGAATTCTAGGTAATAAGAGTTCTAATGGAAAAGTGCACAACAGGCAAGATTAGACGGGAAATCTGAGCAGACACACAAAACCTATAAGAAAGAATAAAATTGAAATACTAGAAATGAAAAAATCAGATGAACAATGTCTTCAGTAGGCTCATCAATATACTTGACATAGCCAAGGAAAAAGTAAGTGAACTTGACATCAGGACGATAAGAGTTACCCAGATTAAAACATAAGTGGGGTAGGGTATGACAAGGAGGAACAAGAGTCCAAGAGCTTTGACAAAATATCCATTGATCCAACACATACACATAATTGGAATCCCAGAAGATATAGAAAGACCTACTCTACAAGAAAAGTTCTTCAAACAAGGAATATGAAATACAACAGCACTTGGAGATACACAAAGAAATGAAGAGATGTGGAAACTGAATACATGAAGGTAAAAACTTTAAAAATGCAGAAAGTAACTGGCTGTCTTTGTGCCATGTGTTTACATTATATAAAAGTAAAATATGACAGAAGCATAATGCATGTCAGGGAGAAAATGGGAATATATAAGATCTTAATGTGTTAATTTGTATATTATTTGAATGTATATTCCAATTAAAGATGTAAAGTAATAACCACTGAAAATGTTTAATGAGATGTAAACAATAAGTTAATATAAAATAGAATCATTAAAAATGTTCATTTAGACTACAGAAGGCAAAAATAGAACAAAAACCAAAGAACAGATAGAACAATTAGGATCGAGTTAACAAAGTGGATAGATTTGAATCTGTATCTTAAAAAATATCAAATGTCAATGATCTAAGTATACCAGTTAAAAGAGCTTCTATGAATGGTAAAGCACTATCCAACTCTACGCCGTCTACCAGAGACACACTGTAAATATAAAGGCATAGTTAAATTAAAAGTTAAATGGTGGGGGAAAGATACACCATGTAAACACACAAACAAGCAGAAATGACTATATTATTATCAGATGAAGTAGACTTCAGAACAAGTACAGTCAGGGATAAGAGTGAGACAGCATAATGATAAAAGGGTCCATTTACTGGGAACATTTATTTTTCATTTTGAGACAGAGTCTTGCTCTTGTCCCCCAGGCTGGATGGAGTGCAATGGTGTGACCTTGGCTTATTGCAACCTCTGTCTCCTGGCTTCAAGTGATTCTCCTGCCTCAGCCTCCCGAGTAGCTGGGACTACAGGCACTATTAGCCATCATGCCTGGCTAATTTTTGTATTTTTAGTAGAGACAGGGTTTTACCACATTGGCCAGGATGGTATCGAACTCCTGACCTCACGTGATCCGCCCACCTCGGCCTTCCAAAGTGCTGGGATGACAGGCGTGAGCCACCACACCCGGCCAGGAAAATGTAATTCTAAATGAGGACACATTGAATTGCAAAGGAAAAACGATAGAACTGAAAAGAGAAAAAGACAAATTGACAATTGTCATTGGAGACTTCATTCCTCCTCCTGGTAATGAGTAGAACAAATAGACAAAAAAATCTGTAAGGAAATAGAAGACCTCAACAACATAATCAAGCAACTTGACCTAGTTGACATTTATTAATATAAAACATTCCAAACAACCCAGGCAGGGTACAAATTCTTTTGAAGTGTTCATGAAACATTGACCAAGACAGGGTATAAATATTAATACATTAAAAATTTTCTAAACTATATTCCTTGACTATAACAGAATTAAAGTCGCAGTAAACAAAGGTATCTGAAAAGATTTGGAAGGCTTAAATTATAAGTTCCATTTCTCTAATAGATATAAAACTGAATATTTCTTCAGTAAACCTGGTTAGCTTCCCTCAAGTATTTTTAAATCGTCAAATTATTTGCATAAATTCATAACATTCTTTTATTCATTTAATAACTGTCATTTGTAGTGATGCCACATCTGCCGTTCCAGATGCTGATAACTTGGATAATGTCTTCTGTTCTTTAACCGTCTGCAATTTTTGGTTTCATTGACCACCTCAAAAAAATCACCTTTTGTTTTTCAGGTTTCTATCTCATTGGCTTCCATAATGATTTTTATTATTTCCACTCTTGTGTCAACTTTGGGTTTCATTGTTCTTCTTTTTCTAATTTGTTGGGTGAAAAATAAGAGTCATTGATTTGAGTCGTTGCTTTTTTAGCACCGGCATTTAGTGCCACTGTATTTCTCTGTAAGTACTGTGGCACATCTCACGCATTTTGATATGCTTTCTTCTAAGTTTCATTCAACTAAGAATACTTATTTTTCTGTCTTATTTCTTCTTAGAAACATGGGTCACTGAAAAGTGTCCTCTTTTGGTCTAAATATTTGAGTGTTTTCTAGTTATTTTTCTGTTATTGATTTAAATCCATTCTGGTTAGAAAACATTTTGTATGACTTGAATCCTTTTCAATTTACTGATGTGTTTTAAGGTCTGGAATTATTGTCTCTCTGGGTGAATGTTCTGGGTTCACTTGAAAAGAATGTGTGTTTTACTCTTCTTGGGGTGAATAGTTTCACAAATATCAATGAGGTCAAGTTGATGATAACATTCTTTAAGTCTTCAATATCCTCACTATTTTTTCTGTTTACATGTTCTATTGAGAGGTATGCCGAAATCTCCAACTACAGTTCTCAGTTTGTTTATTTCTCCTTGTGGTTCTTTCAGTTATTTTTTTTTTTGAGATGGAGTTTCACTGTTGTTACCCAGCCTGGAGTGCAATGGCACGATCTTGGCTCACCGCAACCTCCGCCTTCTGGGTTCAAGCAATTCTTCTGCCTCAGCCTCCCGAGTAGCTGGGACTACAGGTGCACACCACCATGCCCAGCTAATTTTTGTATTTTTAGTAGAGACGGAGTTTCACCTTGTTGACCAGGATGGTCTTGATCTCTTGACCTCGTGATCCACCTGCCTCGGCCTCCCAAAGTGCTGGGATTACAGGCTTGAGCCACCGCGCCCGGCCTAAGTAGTTTCTTTTACATCCATATTCTGATCTGTACTCAGGTAAGAAATAGTGGAGGAACAACACACTATAGATTTCTAGATGCTTTCTTTTCCACCCCTTTTCTGAGCGCTCTCCCCTCTCAGACTCTCTCTCCTTGGAACTCAAGCCACCTTGATCTTGCTGACTCCAGCTCCATCCCCGCTTCATGGAGGTCTGTACCACAGCCCGGAAACTGTGCAGTCATTTGGGGAAATTGG